CCCCAACTGGATCAGGCCCTCTGAATAGGTGAGACAGTTGATTGGCTTGATCTGTTTGGGAGGCATCTATGCACTGGTACCGGGTCCTGTGCTCAGTGCATGAGTTGGTTGTTTGAAACCTGGGACTTATGCAGGGACGCTTGCCTCAATCTGGGAGGAGGGGACTGGACCTGCCTGGACTGAGTCTACCAGGTCGATTCCAGTCCTCGGGGGAGACCTTTATCTGGAGGAGGTGGGAATGGAGGGTGGCCTGGGGGGAAGGGGAGGGGGGGAGAAAGGGGGAGAACAAGGGAATCTGTGGCTGTTATGTAGAACTGAATAGTATTGTAAAATAAAATAAAAATTTAAAAAAAAATTTATTTTACATACCAACCACAGTTCCCCTTCCCTACACTCTTCCCATTGCCTCCTCCCCACTCCACCCCCACCCCCATTCACTCCTCAGAGAGGATAAGGCCTCCCATAGGAAGTCAACAAAGTCTGGCACATCATGTTGAAGGCAGGACCAAGCCCCTCCCTGCTGCATCAAGGCTGAGCAAGGTATTCTACCATAGGGAATGGGCTCCAAAAAAAACCCAGTTCATACACTAGGGATAGATCTTGGTCCCGCTGCCAGGGGCCCCACAAACAGACCAAGCCACACAACTGTCACCCACATTCAGAGAGCCTAGTTTGGTCCCCTGCAGGTTCCCCAGCCTTCAGTCCAGAGTCCCTGAGCTTCCACTAGCTCAGGTCAGCTGTCTCTGGGTTCCCCCATCATGATCCTAAACCCCCACCCCCTGCTCATACAATCCCTTCTACCTCTCTTTGACTGGACTCCAGGAGCTCAGCCCAGTGCTTGGCTGTGGATCTCTGCATTTACTTCCATCAGTCACTAGATGAAGGCTCTATAATGACAATTAGGGTAGTCACCAATCTGATTATAGAGGAAGGCCAGTTCAAGAATCCTCTCCACTATTGCTAGGAGTCTTAGCTGGGGTCATCCTTGTGGATTCTTCCTAGCAACAGGTTTCTCCCTAACCCCTTAATGGCTCCCTCTATCAAGATAGCTCTTTCATTGCTTTCCTTTTCTGTCACTCCCTCTAGTACCTCCCCCCACTCCCTCATGTTCTCATCCCCATCCCCATCCCTCTCCCCAGTTTACCCAAGAGATTTTATGTATTTCCCCTCCCAAGGAGATTCATGTGAGTCCCTCTTAGAATCCTCCATGTTACCTAGTTTCTCTGGGGTTGTGGACTGTAGCCTGGTTATTCTTTGCTTTACATGTAATATCCACTTAAGAGTGAGTACATACCATGCTTGTCTTTCTGGGTCTGGGTTACCTCATTCAGGATTATTTTTTCTAGTCTGATCCATTTGCCTGAAAATTTCATGATGTCATTTCTTTTTACAGCTGAGTAATACTCCACTATGTAAATGTGCCACATTTTCTTTATCCGTTCTTCAGTTGAGGGGCATCTAGGTTGTTTCCAGATTCTGGCTATTACAAATAATGTGCTATGAACATAGTTGAGCAAGTGTCCTTGTGTTGTGCTTGTGCACCCTTTGGGTATATGCCCAAGATTGGTATTGTTGGCTCTTGAGGGAGATTGATTCCCAATTTTCTGAGAAACCGCCATACTAATTTCCAGAAATGGCTGTTGTTTTGTCTCATTTACTGTCTGTTGCCTTACAGAAGCTTCTCGTTTTCAGGAGGTCCCATTTATTAATCATTTTCTCCCATTGTCTGTGCTACTGGTGTTATATTTAGGAAATGGTCTCCTGTACCACTGAATTCAAGGCTACTTCCTGCTTTTTCTTCTATCCGGTTCAGTGTAGCTGGATTTATGTTGAGGTCTTTGAACCACTTAGATTTGAGTTTTGTGCATGGTGATAAATATGGATCTATTTGTAATCTTCTGCATGTTGACATCCAGTTATGCCAGCACCATTTGTTGAAGATGGTTACTTTTTTCCAAGTTTCGGCTTCTTTGTCCAAAATCAGGTGTTCATAGGTGTGTGAATTAATGTCAGGGTCTTCAATTTGATTCCATTGAACCACATGTCTGTTTTTATGCCAATACCAAGCTGTTTTTATGACTATTGCTCTATAGTAGAGCTTTGAAGTCAGTGATGTGATAAGGCCACCCATACCTTTTAAAGCTCCCCAAACAGCCATCAACAAGAAACCAAATATTGA